TACTGACAGGGAGCTAAGATGGAGGCGGCTCTCTCTATACTGACTGCCAGGCGTAAAGGGCGGAGCTTATAACAATGATTGACAGGGAGCTAAGATGGAGGCGGCTCTCTCTATACTGACTGCCAGGTGTAAAGGGCGGAGCTTATAACAATGATTGACAGGGAGCTAAGATGGAGGCGGCTCTCTCTATACTGACTGCCAGGTGTAAAGGGCGGAGCTTATAACAATGATTGACAGGGAGCTAAGATGGAGGTGGCTCTCTCTATACTGACTGCCAGGTGTAAAGGGCGGAGCTTATAACAATGATTGACAGGGAGCTAAGATGGAGGCGGCTCTCTCTATACTGACTGCCAGGTGTAAAGGGCGGAGCTTATAACAATGATTGACAGGGAGCTAAGATGGAGGCGGCTCTCTCTATACTGACTGCCAGGTGTAAAGGGCGGAGCTTATAACAATGATTGACAGGGAGCTAAGATGGAGGCGGCTCTCTCTATACTGACTGCCAGGTGTAAAGGGCGGAGCGATAACAGATTGACAGGAGCTAAGATGGAGGTAATACTGACTGCCAGGTGTAAAGGGCGAGCTTATAACAATGATTGACAGGGAGCTAAGATGGAGGTGGCTCTCTCTATACTGACTGCCAGGTGTAAAGGGCGGAGCTGACTTGGATAACAAGGTGATTGACAGAGAGCTAGGGGCTGCCTCTCTCTATACTGACTGCCAGGTGTAAAGGGCGGAGCTTATAACAATGATTGACAGGGAGCTAAGATGGAGGTGGCTCTCTCTATACTGACTGCCAGGTGTAAGGGCGGAGCTTATAACAATGATTGACAGGGAGCTAAGATGGAGGTGGCTCTCTCTATACTGACTGCCAGGTGTAAAGGGCGGAGCTTATAACAATGATTGACAGGGAGCTAAGATGGAGGCGGCTCTCTCTATACTGACTGCCAGGTGTAAAGGGCGGAGCTTATAACAATGATTGACAGGAGCTAAGATGGGCGGCTCTCTATACTGACTGCCAGGTGTAGGGCGGAGCTTATAACAATGATTGACAGGGAGCTAAGATGGAGGTGGCTCTCTCTATACTGACTGCCAGGTGTAATGGGCGGAGCTTATAACAATGATTGACAGGGAGCTAAGATGGAGGCGGCTCTCTCTATACTGACTGCCAGGTGTAAAGGGCGGAGCTTATAACAATGATTGACAGGGAGCTAAGATGGAGGCGCCCAGTTACAGGATAAGTAGGTGTGGGATTTCGATATTTAATTTTATTTTTCATATCTTACAAACACAGATTTATTAAATATGGGAATAATGTAAACATAATATTAAAATCATGGAAAGGGACCCTATTCTTGTTCTTTAAAGCACGTTAACTTGCTGAAGTATTTCGGGGATTACCTGGATGCGTCCCTTGTCCCAAATCATAAGAGACAAATCAGCTTTGTATGAAGTGACTTGGGTCCGCCTGGTGACCACGGGAGAAGCATTAACAGGCGGACTGCCAGGGGGCTTTAAAGTGATGGAATTATCTGTGCAGGCTGGAAGGTTCTCCGAGTGAAGATATGGACCCTCAGCACAACGCTTTATCATAGCTGCCTTGGTCCAGGCTTGGATCTGATACCCAGACATTGTGGGATTAATAGTGAATGTTATTACACTAGGAAATATTTGCATGTATTTCATCTGCTGATTTACTTAAACCTCAGAGCGTGCTAAAATAATGTCTCATAGAGTTTATTATCTTCTTTTAATTATTCATCATATCATAGGACAGTTGAATACGCAGTTTTAGTGATTTTAATGATGGTGTATATTATTTTTTGTGTCTACACAGACGTTTCTTAAAGGGACACTCCAGACCTACAGCACTTTAACTTGCTGAATGCTTTATGTGTGAAGAGTGCCCTTTTTGTAAAATTAAACACAAACAGATATCAAAATTATAAATTAACCGTGTTACACCCCCTGACTGTCAATAAGACAACAGGTCCAGTAATTTCCTGGTTTGCGTAGTGCAGTTTATTTATTCATTTTGTGGAGTGTGCATTTAAAGATCAAACCTCGGCACAATAACCACTTCATCTAACTGAAACGATTAGGGTGTCTGAAATCCCCTGGCACTGGCCAACTGCAAGTGTTTTTAAATGTATTATTACAGCTTATATCCTATTACTATTACTTCATATCCTATCCTCACAGCTTGTTTTATGAAAGCAGCTCCTCAAATTGTTACAAATGTCTAGAACCGGCTACTATCTGATAATAATGTCAGCATTGGTTCGCATTATTCCCATTGATTTAACGAGAAACATACAGAGACAAAATAACTGGGGGGAAAAGTGTTGTGAATATATAGGGGATTTATCATCGGGTACTATAGGGAGCTACTCTGCCTTGCAAAACTATCCCCCCCCCCCCTGGCATTTTTCATGTTTTGTTGCCTCACAGCCTGGAATTAACATGGATTGTTTGAGGATTTGCATCATTTAATTTACAGAACATGCCCACAACTTTGAAGATGTTTATTTTTTTTTTATTGTGAAGCAAACAATAAATAGAACAAAATAACAGAAAAGGTCAATGTGTATAACTATTCATCCCCCCTAAAGTCAATACTTTGTAGAGCCACCAGCAATCGCAGCTCCAAGTCGCTTTGGATAAGTCTCTATGAGCTTGCCACATCTTACCACTGGGATTTTTGCCCATTCCTCCTGGCAAAACTGCTCCAGCTCCTTCAAGTTGGATGGCTTGCGCTTGTGCACAGCAATCTAAGTCTGACCACAGATTTTCTATTGGATTGAGGTCTGGGCTTTGACTAGGCCATTCCAACACATTTACATGTTTCCCCTTAAACCACTCAAGTGTTGCTTTAGCAGTGTGTTTGGGGTCATTGTCCTGCTGGAAGGTGAACCTCCGTCCTAGCCTCAAATCACGCACAGAGTGGTACAGGTTTTGCTCAAGAATATCCCTGTATTTAGCACCATCCATCTTTCCCTCAACTCTGACCAGTTTCCCAGTCCCGGCTGCTGAAAAACATCCCCACAGCATGATGCTGCCACCACCATGTTTCACTGTGGGGATTGTGTTCTTTGGGTGATGTGATGTGTTGGATTTGCGCCAGACATAGTGTTTTCTTTGATGGCCGAAAAGCTAAATTTTAGTCTCATCAGACCAGAGCACCTTCCTCCATACATTTTGGGAGTCTCCCACATGCCTTTTCACAAACTCAAAACGTGCCATTTTGGTTTTTTTTCAAAGTAATGGCTTTCTTCTGGCCACTCTGCAATAAAGCCCAACTCTATGGAGCGTACGGCTTATTGTCGTCCTATGTACAGATACTCCAGTCTCTGCTGTGAACTCTGCAGCTCCTCCAGGGTTACCTTAGGTCTCTGTGCTGCCTCTCTGATTAATGCCCTCCTTGCCAAGTCCATGAGTTTTGGTGGGCGGCCGTCTCTTTGCAGGTTTGCTGTTGTGCCATGTTCTTTCCATTTGGTTATGATAGATTTGATGGTGCTCCTGGGGATCATCAAAGATTTGGATATTTTTTTTATAACCTAACCCTGACTTGTACTTCTCAGCAACATTGTCCCTTACTTGTTTGGAGAGTTCCTTGGTCTTCATGACAGTGTGTGGTTAGTGGTGCCACTTGCTTAGGTGTTGCAGCCTCTGGGGCCTTTCAAAAAAGGTGTGTATATGTAACGACAGATCATGTGACACTCAGATTGCACACAGGTGGACATCATTTCACTAATTATGTGACTTCCGAAGGTAATTGGTTGCACCAGAGCTTTTTATGGGCTTCATAACAAAGGGGGTGAATACATACGCACATGCCAATTTTCTGTTTTCTATTTCTAAAAAATAGTTTTCTGTATATATTTTTCTCATTTCACTTCACCAACCTAGACTATCGTGTTCTGATCCATCACATAAAATTCAGATTAATAAAACATTGAACTTAAGGCTGTAATGTTACAAAATAGGTAAAACGTCAAGTGGGGTGAATAATTTTGCAAGGCACTGTATAGGGGATTTATCATTGGGTACTATAGGAAGCTATAGGGGATTTATCATCGGGTACTATAGG